AGGTGTTGGGACATATTGAATGTGAAATAACTGTTAGACCTCCAAGTGGGAGATGTTGGGGAGGCAGCTGGGAAGTATATCTGGATTGGGCATAAGAATTTGGGGCTGGAGAATTGATGATCATCGGCGTATGGGTGGTAATTAAGGCCATTGGATTGGATGGTATCATTTAGTGTTTGTAGATAAAGAAAACATTCATTGACTGATCCATTATATAAAGTCAACACTGCATTCTAAAAAATTTCTTTCTGTGCTGAAGGAGTAATTTAAAACAGGTTTCTCGTGGAATCCATTACTTCTAAGTTCTGTTATATATGGGGTTATTTTATGAATGTCCAATAGCTGAATCTCTTCAGGACAAAGGACTGATCTTTCTGAACTGCAGAATAAAGATAAATAGCTTGCAAAAACCAGTTATTATGGTATTAAGTAAAAGACTCAAAACTATTAATATTGTTTCTTAAGTCTTACTGTTTTGTTGGCTACAAAAACTATTACAAACAAATTGTGGCCAACGTGCTTGCTATTTTAAAAAGTTCTAATATAAGTATGCTTTTTACAAGTGAATGCTAGTGAACATTTTCAGTTTCTGGCAGGTTCTGCCTTTGTAAACATCACCATGAAGATTAATTTTACCAGTATTTGATCTTCAGTATTTTATTAGTCCCATTTTAAAGTCTGAAAAGATTAAAATGCCCAGGAGATAACAAGAATGAAGTCTATGTGCTTGTTTGTATTTACGACAGCAAAATGAATATATTAGGAAAATAGTCAAAGACCTTGTAATCAATAAAGATATATGTTAAATTTTACATACTAAGCTTGCCTAAACAATCTTTTGAGACCAAACCTGTTTAAAAATTAGTATTATGAAAAGATGTTAAAAACCACAATTCAGGCATTCCTAAATTCCCTGATGTTGGTGCTCACTTACTTGATTCAAAAGTATCACATTGACCTTTGTAGCTATTCTCTTAGTAAATACAATCCAAGGGGCTCTAGAGAGCTATCCATGTTAGCAGTTGAGTAAATATATATTCTCTTAGCATAGTCAGATGGAAATCACACAGCCCAACACATCTGTCAGTGAGACTATGCTTCCAATTTTTGTTCGAGTTAAATGAAAGTCTAAAATTAACAAAATCTGAAGGTTAAGTGGAAATTAACTAGGTTCTATAGCGTAATATAGTATAAAATCCCAAAGTTTAGAGCAAATTGTATGTTCTTATTACTTCATTAATGAGATATTTTACATTAAAATGTTTATCATTTTAAAAATTGCATATTGCCATAATTCTTCAGTCAGGTCTCAGAGTGTATTTGTTGTCGATTAATAGTAAGTATTTACTTTGTGCCTTTTATATGCCAGGAATTTACTCAATGATATAGAAATGATTGAGACAAGGTATATACCTTCAAGGAGCTTTCAGTCTAGTTAAAGGAGACAGATATGTAAACAAATGTATAGTACAGTATAAGTAAAACAACAAGATAAATATTTGTATGCAGCCAAGAAGGGGATAATAGTATTTGGGAAAGAGAATTAACTCTACTGAGATTTGGGGGAGGTTGAGAATTTACTGGTGGCATTACTCCCTGAGCTGAGTTTTGAAAAACATTGACAAACATTTACTAGAAATTATGCGCAAAGTTACAGGAAAAGGGAAAAGCCACATATATAGGCATAGAAGTCTGAAACCACTTGGTGTATTTGGAAAAATACTGTAGACAGCTCCATATTGTTGATATAAATAGTGTGATACAGAAAGTGTCAGGAAATGAGGTTGGAGAGGTACACCAGGAAGAGACTGTATATGGTATACTAAAAAGGTTGGATGGTACTGTGTAGTTAATGGGGAGATAGTAAGGAGTTTTAAGCAGGGACAAATTTAATCTGACTTGTATTTTAGAACACTAACTGTGGCTGCAGTATAAAGGAGGGAGGTTAGGCAGTTATTATATCTCCTTTTATATATTTCCTTAAAAAGTCTATTACTTCTCCTTTATCAAGTGAAAAAAAACTGCCCAGTTGATGCACTTATAATATATAGATTGATCTGTGTGTGTGCACAACACCACAATATCACCAAGAATAGAAATTAAGAAAATATATGACCTTTTCCCAAGAATGCTTACACCTGTATCTTAAAGAAAGATACAACATAAAGTCCATATTCTTAGGCACCTGAGAAGAAAGTAAATTTGGTATTCTTTTATAAACTTTAAGAATATTATCTAGGACATGAGGGTGTACTGAGGAAATAAGCTGTTACAAGACTGGATTTTTCGTTAGAAGAACAAAACAAAAATTTTCCCTAGTGTTTTTCAGAATACAGTTAAATGAGAGGTTAAGGTCTCAAAGTTCTAAGCCCTGGAATATGACCATAATGAAATTAACCACACTTAGAAAAAATTTTTAATTTCTACAAAGAACTCTCAGACTATCTGATTTTAAGGAATGGCATTTTCTGGTGGGCCCTTCTGAGACAGATTGGCTCCACAAATCTTGATGATGATCTTATCTCTTATAAGAAGTATCTGACTCTAATTACATATGTTAAAGAGTATCTTGCCAAAAATGAGTATTTAGACTTTAGTATAGTTATTTTGTTTTATTTTGTGTGGTGGTAAAATATACATAAATATATTTTAGCTGTTTAAAATTGTACAGTTTCAGTGGCATTAAGTAGATTCACATTATTTGCAATCATCACCAAACATTATATATCTCCAGAAATGTTTTCATCTTTCCATTGAAACTCCTATACCCATTAACTAGTGACTCCCTCATACGTCCTTTCCTCAGCTCCTGGCAGCCACCATTCTACTTCCTGTCTCTATGAATTTGTCCACTCTAGCTTCCTCATAGAAACAGGCATGTATCATTTTCCTTTTGTGACTGGCTTAACATAGTGTCTTCATTATGTTCATTAATCACTTAACATAATGTCTTCAGAGTTCATCCATGTTATAGCATGTGCCAGAATTTCCTTTTTAAGGCTAAGTAATATTCCATTCTATGTACATATACATTTTGTTTATCCATTTATCTGTGGATGGAAAATTTGGTTGCTTCCATTTTTTGGCTATTGCAAATAGTACTGCTATGAACATGAGTGTACACATACTTCCTGAATTTCTGCTTTCAGTTTTTGTGGGTATACACCCAGAAGTGAAATTGTTGGATCATATGATAATTCTATTTTTAATTTTTTTTAAGAACCACCGTACTGTTTTCCATAGCAGCTCCTCAATTTTACATTCCCACAAACAGTACACAAGGGGTCCATTTCCTCCACATCGTCCCAACACTTAATCTTTTCTGGTTTTTTGTTTGTTGGTTGGTTGGTTTGGTTTGTTTTTTTTTTTTTAAATAGTAGCTATCCTAATGGGTGTGAAATGGTATCTTATAGTTTTCATTTGGATTTCCCTAATGATTAGTGATGTTGAGCATCTTTTCATGTGCTTATTGCTATTTGATTATCTTCATTGGAGAAAGGTCTATTCACATCTTTAGCCTGTCTTTTAAATTGGGTTTTTGTTGTTGACTTGTAGGAGTGTTTTTTGTATTCTGTATATTAACCTCTTATCAGATAAATGATTTGCAGACATTGTCTCCTATTTTGTTGTTTGCCTTTTCAAGTCTGTTGATAGTCATTTTGTTTCTTTTTGGGGGGTAATTTAATTAGGTTTACTTATTTATTATTATTATTTTTATTTTTTATTTGATGGAGGTACTGGGAATTGAACCCAGGACCTTGTGCATGTTAGGCATGTGCTCTATCACTGAACTGTATACCACCCCACCCCACCCCACCCCACCCACTGTTGATAGTCTTTTGATGAATGTTAAGTTTTAATTTTGATGTAGTTGAATTTATCTATTTTTTCTTTTGTTGCCTATGCTCTGGGATAGTTATTCTTGATTATTCTTTCTGATAATTAAAAAGCAGGACCATTTGCCTATTAAGGACATAAATACATAGTATTTGATAGTAGCAAATTCTTACCAGCATATGGAGTACTTACGTTTTTATTCTTAGAAGCAGAAGGACAAATTTCTGACTCATTAAGATCCAGATTAAAAATGGGATGTCAGAGGAAAGCAAAATGCATTGTAGTAACCCTGGCCATGAACCTTTGTGGGGTGTCTACTTCCCCACCACAGGTACTGTATCGTAAGAGCATTTGGTAACCAGGGATCTGTCAGGAAACCTTCTCCCACTCTTGTTTATTCCTCTTCTCCAAAAACAATTCAGAAAGACTGAATTGAGCACTCTTGAGCACTCTTGCACATTCCCAACTTGCATTCCAATTCACTTTCACCCCTTTCCCTTTAATTTTTTTTAAACTTTTTTTAATTGAGTTATAGTCATTTTACAATGTTGTGTCAAATTTCTAGTGTAGAGCACGATTTTTTGGTTATACCCGTTTCCTTTCATTTTTAAAGTGTAACACTTTTTTTTTCTACCAGACATTGTTATTTATTTGCTTATTTATCATCTGTCTTCCCTCAACAACAGAGACTTTTGTCTCTGTTGTCTTCACTGCTGATTTATCAGGGCTTAGAACAGTACTCTGTAAATATTTGATGAATTAATAGAGCATTGAACATTTTATTGAATATTTTGTATTTTTTTCTGTCTGTGAAAATTTCAAGAAGTAGATGCTGATTCTCAGGGTGAAATAACTCTTCCACTTCCATTTATATGCTTTGTGACACAGTTATCTCATAGAATTAGTTAATTCCTGATGTAGCCTCCTATTTTAGTACTGTGCCATTTATAATATGCTATAAAATAAGTTAAATATTTAGTGCCTATTGTGTGACAAGACACTGTCTTAAGCCATGCAGGGGGGTTAACATGAACATCTTCAGCTTGATTTAAGTAATTTTGGTACCAAAAGCTTTAATAGAGGAAATTATTTTCATTTAAAAATGGGATTCATGAATCAAATTGTATTTATAAAGGTATGTTAGCTAAATTTTTCCCTTAGATTTAACCTCATGTGAACTTTTTTCCAGATATTTTCTAAATTTGGCACAGTCTTAAAGATTATCACCTTTACAAAGAATAATCAATTTCAAGCCTTGCTTCAGTATGCTGACCCATTGAATGCACATTATGCCAAAATGGTAATTATGATCTTTTTTTCATTTTTCAGTTATTAATCAGTCACTTCAGTGATACCAAAGAAAGCCATCATATCTTCTCTGCCCCAGATCACCATGTGTTTTTTTAAATTACAATAAAATATGTATAATATAAAATTTACTATTTTTAAATGTACTGTTCCATATGCTCTTTTTATAGTCTAAAAATTACTTCTTCATATGAAATGGTTTCAAATCACCTATCATTTCTCAGTTTTCTGGGACTCATTTCTGTTTGTCATATTTAAGGTCTAGAGTTGAGCACAGTACTCTTGATGTAATCTGACTAATAAAGTAGAAATATCTTTGCCCTAATGCCTTCATTTACTTCTGTTAAATGAGTCAAAGATTGATTGATTTCAGTATTTTTGCAACCACATTCACTGTTTAATCTCATTGAGCTCTAAATTGGTGAACACATTAATTCCTAGGAAATATGCTGCTGTCAATTTTATCTTTTAGTACATGAGTGCTTGATTTTTGACAAGGTATATAAAATGTCGCATTCAGTTTGGTTACATTTGACCCTTCTCCTGTTGAGATCTGTCCCTAACTCTGATTCTATCTTGTATCAGTATCCAAATTATTTCTGATTTTTTTTTTCAAAGATAGAGACTAAGGTTTATAGTACTTCTGTGTATTATACAGTGTCTGGCTCTTGATTAAGAATAGCCTTTATATTTGCTGTACCCTCTACCTGCATATATTATTTTGTAACTTTATAATGATGTACTCATAAATAACTGATTATGTCAGGGATTTTTGTATATTTGTATATTTTTTGTTTTATTTTTTATGATTTGGTTTCTGGATCTATTTTTAAAAATTTGAGTATTTGTACAAGTCCTAAGTGACTGTAAGTATCCATTTGGTAAATCTTATCTTTGCTGATCTTTGATCTTATATCTAATCTGACTCAAATTTTCCTCAAGCTTAATATTCAAACAAAATTAATTTACAGGAGAAAGAACGTGGTAGATAATATTTCACATATTGTGGTTCTGACAAATACCATTTACAAAGGCTTTATTTAATCTTAACCTGTATAAACTACACTAAAATGAATTAAGATGAAATATAAAATTTAAATATCTTTAAATATTTGTTGTGGACAAAATAATCATAGTAATAGCTAGTACAGTGTGTAATAATGTGTAATAGTTTTCCAAGCTTATACATTTCTCCTCTTTCATTTGATCTTACCACAGACAAGGTAGGGATCATTATCCTTACTTTACAGAAGGAAAAATAGAAATAGAGGTTTTCTTTTTCTCTCTTAGGCTCACGCAGTCAGTGACAGAAGTTAATTAAAGTAAACATAGGTCTTTGGCTTTTAGTTTAGTCCTCTCTGCTTTTATGCCTGATAGCCACTCTTTGTGAAAGTGAAGGCTACTTGATTTATCATTGTTGTCTTGCAAAACATCAGTCCCTTTCTTACGTGCTTTAGGCTCTGGATGGCCAGAATATCTATAATGCATGCTGCACTCTGCGTATTGACTTCTCCAAGCTCACCAGCCTTAATGTGAAATATAATAACGACAAAAGCAGAGACTTCACTCGCTTAGACCTTCCTACTGGTGATGGCCAGCCATCCCTTGAACCCCCTATGGCTGCTGCTTTTGGTGAGTAGTTCCATTTTGGATCACAGAGCAAGTTTTCTGAAGTTAAAAGTTTCATTTACTAATCTGTGTATGTCAGCTAGTTTCTTCTTGGATTCTCTCAGGATTTCTAAAGGAAAGCAAGAATCATAGAACAAATGTGTCCATTAATTAAATCTTCCTATTAGTAGATTCTATTAGTTGGCAAAAACAAGTGGATATTTGAACTTGAATTTATTTTCTAACATTGTTACTACTTATTCTTTATAATCCTTACAACCATCGCATCAAATTAATACTCTTACATATTAACATTGGTTTAAATAAGTTGATTTATAGTGAACAGAATATTGATATAAGTGCTCTTGAGAGAAATATGTTTCCATTTTTAAGTAGTGATTTTTTTTTTAATTGAAGTACAGTCAGTTACAATGTGTCAGTTTCTGGTGTACAGCATAATGTCCCAGTCATGCATATATCTGCATATATTTGTTTTCATATTCTTTTTCATTTAAGTTTATTACAAGATATTGAATATAGTTCCCTGTGCTATAAGGAAGAAATTTGTTTTTTAATCTGTTTTTATAAATAGTGGTTTATCTTTGCAAATCTCAAACTCCCAAATTTACCTCTATCCACCCTCCTTCCTCCAATAACCATAAAATTGTTTACTATGTCTGCAAGTCTGTTTCTGTTTGATACATGAGTTCATTAGTGTCCTCTTTTTTCTTTTTTCTTTCTCTTTCTGGCTTACTTCACTTAGAATGATGATCTCCAGTTCCATCCATGTCGCTGCAAATTGCATTTTATTCATTTTTATTGCTGAGTAGTATTCCATTGTGTAAATATACCACATAAGTAGTGATATTTTAAAACAAAGGCCTAAATGAGTGTGGTATGTTCTTCTTTTATTCAAAGAAGAGGGTTTGGAGTTTTTTTCGGTTTTGTTTTTTAAACATCCGAACTTTTCATCTATACCTTAAGTTTAATGTGAAGTTGCATTTTTGCACAAATAAAAATAGTCTTCTGCATTGCTCATGCAGATGTTGCTTTGAAGAGCTTCCTTTTTCATTTAAAATTAGTTCTCAATATATTTATACTTTTAAAATAAACCTTTATGTAAAAGGAGAAGTAGTGCATGGCCTAGTTGGATATATCATTAGGCTAGTGTACTTTTTGGTTTTGCAGCTCTCAAAACTGTGGTTTATTATTTAGATAGAGTATTAAATTTTATTGCCCTTTGTGATTGCTTTTTCTTTCCCAAATGACGCCATAAAATATTGAGACCTTAGTGGTATTTAGTCTATCTTAATTTTACAGATGAGAAGAAAAATCTTTAGCCAAACAGTTGTCTAAATTTTTCTAGAAAATAGTTTATGACTTTAAAAGCTTTTTGTTATTTGTAACTGAAAAAATCAAGTGGGTTCAGTTCCTAAATTGTTAAAGTTTCTGTTTGGTCTGACCCAATTTTTGTGTTTTGTAAGGTTGGCCCTCCAATATCTACTGGTCTGGCATCTGCACATTCAGCCAATTGTGGATCAAAAATATTTGGGGGAAAAAATTTCCAGAAAGTTCCAAAAAGCAAAACTTTAATTTGCCTTGCACCAGCAACTATTTACATAGCATTATACTGCATTTACAAGTACTTACATTGTATTAGATATAAGCCATCTAGAGATGATTTAATGTATACAGGAAGATATGTAGAGATCGTATACAAATCCTATGCCATTTTATATGAGACTTGAGCATCCTTGGATTTTGGCATCTATGAGATGAGGGGCTAGGGAGTGTCCTGGAACAAATACTTTGTGGATACTGAGGGACAGCTGTATTTGTTATCAGCAGCAGTCCAGTTTGGCTGAGCCAAAGGTCTTTTTAATTACCATTTTAATCACAAAAGATAGAAACTGGGGCTGTCATTCAAGTTTGCCAACACTTGCTATCAAATGCAGAAATGCACCCATTATACCAATTTTTGGAATTAATGTTCTGCATTGTGGGAAGAAGACGTTTTAAAAGTATGACTAAAATTTTTGGTTTCTGAATATAAAATATCAGACTGTTACCATCCTTTTGTATTGTATTAGTAAATCCTTAGTCACTACGAGATAAGGTCTACATTCCAAGATAAGTGATTCAGCAGAGAAGGATACTTTTTTATTATGTATTGTGTGAAAGTTTACTCTGCCTCTTACAAATACTTGACATAATTCACTATTCCCTCCTTTTTTTCTCTTGGATTCTGAAACACCACTCTCCCCTCTTTTCCTTACCTCACTGGCTGTCCTTTCTTTTACAACTGCTCTTTAATGTTCTTAGGGCTAAGTTGTGAGCACTCTGTCCCTGTTTTTAGAGATGTACATTATACCTATAGAAAAGCTTATAAAACATGTGAAAATATTTTTAAATACTCATGTGATTACCACCCAGGTTAAGAAATAAAATGTTTGCACATAATGGAGAAGCACTCTTCGTACTCCTCATTTGTTGTGTTCCCACCCTCCCTGCTCCAGGATAACCATAGTCTCAACTTTGATGTTATTCTTTTGCTTCTGCTTTCCCTGTAGTTTGTTTTTGTCTTTTTACTACTCATTATGCAGACCTCAGTGCTAATTAAAATTTTTTTCTCCTATGTTTAGAACTTTATGTAAATAGAATAATGCTGTGTATTTTCTTTTGTGATTCCTCCATACTCATATATGTGACTATTGCTTATTCATTCTCAATACTGTTACGTGTATAGATTCCTATTGTATGAATATACCACAGATTGTCTTTTCTACTGTTAATAGACATTTGGGTTACTTTAGTTTGAGGCTATTATGAACAGTGCTACTATGAAATTTTCATCATTACTAGTGAAGTTGAACATATTTTTATTTGTTCATTTGCCATTCTCTTTTATGAATTTTTTGTTAATTCCTTTGCCTGTTTTTATGTTTGGTTTCTTATATTTTCTTCTTTATTTGTAGGAATTCTTTCTGTATCTTAGACACTAGTCTTTTGTTGGTTATGTCTTGCAAATAGTTTCAGTTTTGACTTATTGGTTCTTTCTCTTCATGGTATTTTTATGTAGTCAAATCTATTTGCCATTTCCTTTATATTTGTTTTTTCTGTCATATTTAAGAAATCCTATTTTAGTTTGATGTTATAAAGATATATACTTATATTCTAAAGTTTATAGTGTTTTAGTAACTTTTTATTGGAATAATTTAAGTTGCAAATATAGTGCAAAGAATTTACTTATATTCTTCAGATTCCCCAATTATTAACATCATGCCACATTTACTTTATCATTTCTCTGCTTATATATGTGTGTGTGTTGTTTTTTTCTTCCTCTGGATCATCGGAGAGTAAGTTGCAAGCATGCCCCTTCTGAATACTCATTGTGTGTTCTCTTAAGAGCAAGGACATTCTTATCTAAATACTGTTATCAAAATCAGGAAATTAACATTCATGCAATACTATTATCTAATTCGTAGACCTTCAAAAATTTTTGTCAGTTGTGAAAATAATGTTCTTTCTAAGAAAATTTTTTCTAGTAAGGATCCAAGCCAGTATCAGGCTAATTTATTTGTCATATTTCTTTGGAGTCCTTTAATTTGGAACATTTTCTCATTCTTTGTCAATCATGACCTTTAAATTTCTGAAGAGTTCAGGGTTGGATATTTAATAGAATGTTTCTCGATATATGAGTGTCTGGTTTTAGGGCTGAAATAGTATGTTTTTCTCAGTTTATTATATCAGGAAACACATGATGCCAGTTTATCCTGTTCCTGGTGATACCAACTTTGGTCACTTAAGGTGGTTTCTGCTGCGTTTCTTCCCTATAAAGTTACTGGTTTTCTCTTTGTAATTTGTAGGGAAATTATGTTGAGATTATATAAATAGCCTGTTTCTTATGACTTTTCACCCCCATGGTTTTAACATCCATTACTAAGATTCGTTGTTACAGGGATGATGTTGCCGTATTGGTGATTTGCTAATTCCATCGTTCCTTCTAATTTATTAGCTGGGATTTTATTATAAAGGACTTTCTTCTTACCACTATTTCACTCATTCATTCATTTATTTTTATTATGTAAATTTGTATGAATTTCAGGTATATAATATGCTACTTCAGTGTATTTACATATTGTAAATAATTGCTGATGTAGTGATATTTACCACTTTACACAATTTTAGTGTAATGTTGTCTGTATTCATTGTACTGTGTATTAGCTCTCTATGGCTTAGTTACTACTCATTATATTTATTTTCTTCATGTCAGTATGGACTCGTGTATTCTTACTATTCTGTGGTTAATAATTTTATACTATCATTTTTCATTTTATGCTCAAATTTTCCCAGATTTGGTCAGAGGGAGCTCTTTCACACTAGGTTCTGTTGCCTTTTGACATGTCTTCATCATTGTTGGAGCTCATCATTACTTTCTTGCAGAAGATATTTCAGATCTTCTTTGCCTTCCCTGCCTTAGCTTTGCAATCAGCCATTTCTCCAGCGAGCCCTGGTTCCTTTTAATGGGAAATAGTATTTTGAAATCGGTGTCAAGGTGTTAGATGTGCTCATTGTTAATAAGGTGTCATTGCTCTAAGGCACTTTAAATGGACGTGACTAAGATATGTGTGTATGTGTGCTTCAAAAATTTATTTCTTTGTGTGTGTTTGTGTGTATGTTTTTAAAAACCACAAGTTTTAACTGATACCTCCAATTCCATTTTGGTACCCTTTTCATTGGTAATTCCCTTCTTCAGGAATGGAAATCTAGTTTCCATTGGCCACAGTGTATTTACTTATTTGCTGAATTCTATAATACACAAAAAACAGTTGCAGAATTTTTAACACATACCATTAACTTGAGGTTAATATTTGCATAAGTAGTTTTCTGGGCATTGTTCCATTGGTCTATTTGTCTTTTTATTTTTATTTTTGTCATTACCACAAGTCTCAGTATCTGATAAATTTAAGTCTCTTCTTAGTATCTGATAGATTTAAGTCTCTTTACCTTCTTCAAGAGTATCT